AAATCTGGATACATCCTGGCTGAATAATTTAAAACCAATAAATAAAGTCAACAATTATTAAAATATCATTTAAATAAAAAGGTCTTGGCCTGGCGCTGAAGAACAAATAACGACAGCGCCAGGTGGACCTCTCTGGGAAGCGCATTCCATAAGTGGGGCGCTTGATCCTGCTAGGAAACCATCTTAATGAGACTATTCTGGCCTTCTGATGGGATTGCTCTCAGTTGCTTTTACTCTCTCAAACCTCCTTACCATGTTAAGGTGTAATTAGTAAAACTTGAAGTAAAGTTTCAGAGATGGATTGAGGCACAGACAAGTTGCATAGAGGAGAATGCGACTGTAGTGCCTACTGTATGAAAAGTGTCAAATTCAATCTTATTTAAATTTGCAGATCATCATGATTAAACAATGATCTATGACATCAATGTAGATCATTGTTTCTTGTGGTCACTGTGAGATTATCTCTTTACATTCATTTTCTTAAATCGGTTAAGGCGAAGCCTCTACAAAAGGCCTCTGATTGCTTCCTTTCTCTGATTACTAATGACCTCCTGGAGGTCCTCCTTCCCACCTTTTGGGGAACGTCCACAGCTCCCATGGACTTCTCAATAATGAGGATGGGTTGGGAGGGTGTTGACTTTCATTTTCTTGGATTTATAAGCACACTCAGTGGATTTGGTGCCAGGTCCCCCCCTCCCCCCCCAACTTGTTTCAGTTTGCCACAGAGTCCACTGTCTCCCTCTGGTTCTCTCTGTGTGCACATCGCTTGGAGACTGTGTGGTGCTGGTACCACAGAGTTAAGTCAGGAGGAATAGAGATGGAGCGTAAGAGAGAGAGAGAGAGAGAAATAGAAGGTATATTGACAAAAACAGAAAAGTTCTACAGAATAGAGAATGAAAAGTAAGCAGGTGTTTAAAAAGCAGTTAGTTCAAAATATGGCAGAACTGCTTTTCTCTGGTTAGCATAGTGGGACAGCCCTCTTGAGTTAATAAAAATGTAAGATAGGTGTTCAGAATGAATAAAATTTGCACTCTGTTTTCAGCTCTGGAAGCAAGCCTCTCTCTAGTTTGTGGGATAGAGTTTTGCATCACTAGAAGGAACTCGTATGCATAGCTGGTATGATATGACAAAAACACTTCAGATTTACAGTCATAACAGGTTTTGTGAGCCTTCAGTTCAAAATAAGAAATTTATTTATTTATTAAAACCTTTTCTGGGCTTTTAATAAATTCTAGCTAGGCCTTTCTAGGCCATCCACTACAAGTGTGTTGGGACAGCTTACAAGAAAAAGATACTGAATGTTAGTGGGTTTTTTTCAAGAATCACATTAGCTATACAACTGGAAAAAAATGAAATCATATTAATTTGAGGATAAGTTTTAAAGCCAAAGCAGCTCTACCAGGACATTTATCTTTGAACATTTTTTAGTGGTGGGATTTTCTTTGGCTCCTCAACGAGATACAAAAAATTGAAATAGCTTGCTGTCATACTTCAAATAATATAAGTTCAGTATCCAGTTCAAATCCCAACTGGCTCTTCTTCCCATTCGCTCCTACCTCATCTACCTTTTTTGGTGCCATTTTCCATTTAATATTTTTTTTCATACACTCTTTTTGACACTTTAAAAAACTGTTTCAAGAAGACAGGAGAAAGTGACTATATTATTGGAATAAGGCCAGCAAAACAGTGCTATGCACTCTCAGTTTCTACCTTGAACCAGAACAGTATGTTTCCACTGACCTGAATTGGGAGGAAAAGTTGCAAATCTGTCCAAAATGTGTCAGACATGTTGCTACAAGTTTACCTCCAAAACTAGGTAGATCTGTATGTTCTTCTAATAGATAGTGTTATTATTTCATCATACAACAATGCAATTATCCTCTCTGATGTTTGAAGTAGTTCTTCATGATGCAAGCTTTACATGAGCTGAGAATGAGAGACATGATCTTACAGTTATTTATTTTATTTCTCCCAATTTTGAGGGAAAAGGAGTAAACAGGGCACCTAAAGTGACTTTTATTGAATGATTAAAATTATACTGTTTTTCTCTTAAGGCCTTCAGAGCAGCTTGCAAATTTAAAGTTGTTCTAAAAACATGCAGTGCAATAAACGTTTAAAAGCAGTAGCACTAGAATAAAGTAAATCACATGCATCCCCAGAATAAGGAGATGTATAATGTAACACTAAAAGTCTTCTTTCTAATCCACCTGGCACCCCAAAGTCTGCACAGCTGGCACCAGAAGCTGCCTTGGAGAGAGCATTCCAAGACCATGAGACAACCACCTGAAAAAGAAGCTCTTTACCTGGATATTACCTAACTTACTTCCACAAATGAGAACTTGGAAAAGGGCCTTCAAGAAAGCTCTTATTATTTGGGCAGATTAATGCAGTCCTTTTGGGTTTAGGATTCCAAGGTAAGAACCATGTTTAATGGTTCAGTTCCAAGCACAATTAGTGCAGTTGTTTCAAGATGGGCATGATGTGATCCATTCAACCAGTTTCAGTTGCTAATCTTGGCATTGTATTTTGTACTAACTGAAATGGCCAAATAGTTCTCAAAGGTAGCTCCAAATATGACACACTACAGTACTCTAACCAGATGCTTCCAGAGCATGGGTAAATATGGCTGGTCTATCTCTTCCTAGCATAGGCTTCTAGGTAGACCATAGAAGCTACTTGGGCTTCCAAACTATAAGAGCAGTTCAAACATGACATTCAGGCTATTAACCTGCTATAAGGAGTATAATCCCATCCAAAAGATTCACAAAGCAATAGGATCTCCACCTTGCCTTGACTGATCTTCAGTTTCTATCTTCATCCAGTGTACTACTGTCTTCAGATTTTAGCCTAGCAGCTTCACAGCTTCAACTGTCTCTGAAGAAAAAGAGATTGAACTAGGTATTGTAAGGGCAGTAATGATATACCTCAGCCCAGATTTTCAGATGATGCTTCCTTTGGTCATGACAATGTTTGGAACTATGACTGTTACTGAGTTTCAGATTTTATGCCGAACAATAATTCCCCTCCCAGTCATTCCATTTAGAATTGAAAGCAATAAACCTTCAATGGGGCTGCTAGAACTCAGCATTATGACCTGATGATTTCCAGTTGGATCTTCCATAGATATTGTAAAGGTGTCTAATAGTAATAGTAGAATTAACTACTGAAGGAAGTTGATACAGGAGAGGAATATGGTCTGGTTTTGAGACCATGGTTTCTTTAAATCCTGGGAAATTTATTCATGCTTCAAGCTGCCTCTAAAACTTCTGTTCAGAAAGTTTACTAAGCCTTAAATATCATAAGCCAACTTTCCTTACTTGACTTTAAAAAGGTAGATGGAAAGTACGGCAATATTGCGACTCCTGACAAGCATACTTGAAATTAACAGTACCCCATACTAAGTGTGATTTATTCTGTGGTACTTCTTATTTCCATAGAAGAACATTTTGTGGATTCAAATGTCAGATGACTCTTATTTATACATACCATCATTTTGTAGCACCTTATTTATGTATATATATACTGCCCAATAGCTGATGCTCTTACGAATTTCCATAGGCAAAAATAGATTTATCCCTTCGTCCAAAAGAAAACATGACTGGGAGAGTGAGAAGGTCCTGTCACATCCACTGGGAAGAAGCCCTTCTGCACAATAGGTAAAGGTAAAGCTTTGCCCATGACATTAACCTTTTGCTCAATTTTATAGCAGAACCACTGACACTAAAATCTTGTCTTGTTCAATGGCAAAGTTGTGCCTGACTCTCCACAACCCCATGGACCACAGCACACCAGGCTCCTCTGTCCTCCTCTGTCCTCCCAGAGCCTACCCAGCACCAGTGACTCCATCCAGCCAATTCAACCTCTGCCATCCCTTTCTCCCTTTGTCTTCAATTGTTCTGAGTATCAGGGTCTTTTCCAATGAGTCCTTCCTTCTCATTAGGTGGTCAAAGTATTTGAGCTTCAGCTTCAGTATCTGGCCTTCTAAAGAACTGTCAGGGTGATTTCCATTAGCTCCGACAAAAGGGTAGCCACTGGAGAAGAAAATGGCAACCTACTCCAGTTTCCTTGCCATGGACAGTATCAAAGGACACCTTAATACAAAATCTTAATTTCTACAGACATTTATGGAGAGGCTTTCCTAGCACTACAAAGTGAGGTTAGTGATCCTTTAGCACAGTCTGAGTGGAATTCTACTGGAATATTTTGCAATACTAGCGTGTCTTCAAGACATTTCATAGCTTGACTTGTAGAATTTAAGATTTTTGTTTACTCCAGCACTGCTTCAATAACTCCTCCCCTCATTCAGAACTTACATTTTTATGACAATTATAAAACATAGGTTTCAATTGTCAGATGGAAACTACTCTTTCTTGAGAGAGTGGACGCTTGTGTGTGAGAGAGGGAAAATGATATGTGTGTATTTTAGGGACATAAAAATACCATGCACTCGTTTCCACGGTGTAATTCGTTTTCCTAGTTTCCCTCGCAGAAGGGTTTCCTCCCTCCCAGTAAGAAAAACTCCACAATTCTTTGTAGCGCCCAATGGGGCTCTAGGCCTCTGACGTCATCACACCTCTTACGTCTTTCCCCCACTGTCCTCCCCCTACTTGTCCTCAGGCAGTGGTCACGCTTTCCGCCTCCTTCCTCTACTGGCCCCAGTCAGAGTGTTTGTGCGCGCGCTCAGCACAGCACGGAGGCCTTCCCTTCCCTTCCAGGCCACGGGCGCGCGCGGAGTCCGAAAAGCGATAGGGGGAGCCTCAGCTGGGCCGCCAACGCCAGGGGTGGGGTAGGGGCGTGGCCCTCATGCTAATAAGATGCTCACCCCTCCACGGCATGTGCCGCGCCTGCGTTAAGGGTTGTCTCTCGTGGCCGCGAAACTAAGCCGACTGGCCAGACCCGCCTTTCGGGAGGCATAGCCAATCGCAGGTGGTAGAGTATGTGGGCGGTGGAACTGGGTCTTATGAATAATAAGTACTTTGGGGCCCTCGAAGGAGCCGCCGTGTGAAAAGCGCAGGCGCAGTCGCGGATATTGGGTGGCGGTGATTTTTTTTTCCTAATCGGGGAGCCCCTTCAGCAGCTTCGTTTGTCGTTTCACTCTTCTCTTTAGGCCCGAAGGTGGTTGGGGGGCTCTCTAGTTCTGTCCGTTGACTCCTCAGCGTAAATAGCATGTCCAGCCGTGCTGTACCTCCGGAGGCGGCGGCGGCGGCGGCGACCGCGGCAGCCGCGCCACAAGAGCGGGGCCTGACAGGCGCCTTCCCTTTGGTGTTGAAGAAACTGATGGAAAATCCGCCGCGGGACGCGCGCCTCGGTGAGGGTGGCTGAAACGCGGCTCCTGTACTATCTGCTTCTGCGGAGGGAGGGAACGAGAGAGCTGGAGGGTGGGAGGAGGAAAGGCAAGCGAGCCGAAGGGCTGCGCTCTCTTCCCCTTCGACGCGCAGGTCGCGTCCATTTTGCTCTGTCCCGGCGGCGAGAGTGCTCTGCTTTGTCCTTCGCAGCGCGGTCAGGTTCTTTGCCAGCGATTTTGATCTCTTATTTCAGTTTTCAGTGACGCGGGGCCCAAGTTGGAGATCCCTGTGCGCGTTTATCTGGCTGTAAGCGTCATTGAACAAGGCGAGACCCCGACTTGCATGGACTGGCATTGCAAGAGCAGCCGGAGGGACCTAGTCAGTTCGACATCAGAGACTTTAACTATCTCCAGTTCCAGGTAGTCCAGCTGTTGCCAAACCCCAAATGGGGAAGGGGCATGTAATCTGCCCTCGACTCCCAGTCAAAGAAACAGTTCCTCAAGGCAACAGATGGCGCGTTTAAAAGGCTGCTATTCTGCTAGCAACCTCTTCAAGGTTGAACTGCAAAAAGAAAGAAGAGGCAGTGTATTTTTAATGTGTTACTTTTGGTACTCCATAATGAACCAGAGATGGAGGTGTTTATCATAAATAATCGTATGTGGTCTGAAACTGTTTTTTGTAAGTGGCACATGTGGATACATATTTCTCCCTTAGTGTTCTGAAGTGAATGTAAATCCCCTTTCATATCTTGCAGCATGAATGAATAAAGCTGCTTGTATAATTTTATGTGGTTTTTCTCACTTATAAATGCCCCCCTTTTGCATATAGTGTGAGAGAAGAAAACCTCTGTAAACTATTCATTTGCTATAATCTCAGTTGTAACAGTTACTGGACACTTATTTTCTTAGCTTGAATCAGCAAAACCCTGTTCATTTGACTTCTTCACAAGCTCCCCAGTCTTTGATAGCCACCATCTCAGTGAGAGTGTGCTACCATATACAGAAGAACAGAACTATTATAGATACAGCACTCAAAAAGTGGGCTGAGTTTCACATCTTACATAAATGTAACTTGTATTACTTACAATATCTCTTCTCTTTTTGGTATAATTCTTTGAAGAAGGAAGCACATTGCTGCTGTTATTAAGGTCCTGTGCTTCTTTTGATAAAATCGAAAAATAAATAAATAAATAAATCAGTTAACCCAGGAGTAGGCAATGTAGTGCCCTCTAGATGTTTTGGGCTACAGCTCCCATGATCCATGAACATTGGTTTATGGAAGTTATAGCCCAAAACTTCTAAAAGGCATCTAACCAGGTTACCTACCTCATCTTAACCTCTATATTTGGTTGTATATCTTACTTTTTATCTTGTTCATAATTTATTCCCTGCATTATTGTCTTGCAGCAGAGAGAAAAAAGGCTTCTCTACATGAGACATTTATTGTGTACTTGTGATCCTTCACAGAAGTTTGCAGATTCTTTGTACTACATCATTGTCCTTCATTGTTATCCTCTGCTGTATTTTTCCAGCCTTTCTCACAGTTATTTTACAGGGCAGAAAGGCTGGTATTAAAATTTAAATTGTGACAAACAGAAACAAAATCTTACGGTACTGTTGCAAATTCGCTTTACTGCAGCTATACCACAGTGCCATCTGGTGGGTGGTTAGTAAAGTACAGGTAGTCCCCAGATTACCAACAAGTTCCATTCCTGGTAAAATGGAAATTTGTTTTTAAACCAACTATGTATGTAAGTCAGATCATGTATAGTTGGTCCTTCACATTTGTGGGGGTTAGAGGAGTAGGACCCCCATGAAAATGGAAACATTGCAAATATCTCTAGCCTCTCCCCTACCCAAACTCACTAGTGCCTCCTCTTTGCAGCAAGGAAATGCTGGGGAGGTTTCCCTCTCCAGATGGACGGGGCAGGAAAGCCTGCTTTGGAGGACTCCTTCTCTTTTTCTCTACCCTTTTGCTTCCTCTCTGTCTATGGTGCTTTTCTGCTGTAATTTTTGAAAATCATGACAATTTGTTCATAACTTGTAACTCAGAGACTGACTGTATTTTTAAAAAAGCAGAGAAATAATGAACTCCAGGAAAATCCTCATGTAAAGGATACATTTTACCTCCCACAGCAAAAACCAGAAGTCTTCTTAAAGCAGTGGGTTAAATCCTTCATGTAGTGAAGCCCAAAGTTTTCTGACAGCCCTATCTGATAATTGACTAGATATAATTGCTGCAGCTAAGCAAATCTATATCTTGGACCATGGTATTGCTTATTTACTGAATAACGCACATGTATGAACCAGTCCTAGTTTTAAAAAGTCATTGCTATACATAGTTTTTCACAACATAAATAACATCATCTGTTTTAATTTTAGATAAAGAGAAAAAGGAAAAACTTGAAGAAGATGAAGCAGCTGCTGCAAGTACAATGGCAGTCTCTGCCTCTCTCATGCCTCCTATCTGGGACAAAACTATCCCTTATGATGGAGAGTCTTTCCATTTGGAGTACATGGATCTGGATGAGTTCCTCTTGGAGAATGGAATTCCTTCCAGTCCTACTCGTCTGGATCTAAACCAGAATCCACTCCTACCTGTGTCTGAGCTGGAAGGAAAAGAACCTACTAATGCTTCCGCTGCAGTTAACTCATCCCCATCATCTTCCACAGTGGTTTTTCAGCCATCAGAAACTATCACAAGTACAGGTATGTGAACTGCTGCAATGTCTTCTAGAAACACTTGAAAACTGTTAGAGATAGCTGCTACAGAATCTGACAGCAAATAGGATTTTCAGCTACCTTTCTGTTCTTGTTATATGAATCTATTACATATGATAAGCAAAATCTATATGTTTGCTTGTTCTGTTTTAGGTTTCCACTTAACATTAAAATTTTTAAAAAGACACAACAGGTAAACATATAAAGATGGATGACAAAGGCAGTGATACTGTGCACATGTCTTTATTTAAAGCATTTCTTTAGCCACTTTTCAGGAGCACATCATCACAAAGTGATACACAAATAAGAGCCTGGTCAGATACAAGACATGATGGCCACAGTAGCAGGTATATTTTACAAAGCTGTTTTGACCACAAAAGCCCGTTAAAATTTGGTTGAAGGCAGCTTTAATCATAAAAGTCTTTAGTTCCTGCATGAATGACTGCATGGAAGGGTTTAGTGGGGAGGAAGTAGAATTAAAGAGATTATTCTACCTGATATTTAATGTGGCACTTTGTCATGTGGCAGTGTGAGATCCTAGTATAATGCTTACTTGGTCAGAAGTCTTATATTTTACTTATAATAACCATCCTTTTAATTAAAAGCTTTCTCTTTCTGCCTTAGTAATTGTTTCCTATTCAGCCAGGATGCAGTATAACAGGTGGATTATCCCTTAATAAGTATTATATACTCAGTTCCTGTTCTCTGTGTCCCTGAGGGTGTACATGTATTAATTTCCACAGCAATTTCTGATTTTAAATAAATCTTTAAGTACTATTGCCAAATTGTAAAATTAATATTCAGAAAGTATTTTAATGAAGAATTGCTCTTCTTGCAAAGTATAAACCGGTACTTAAAACCCCTCTTTCTAATGCCCCTTACCAAGTAGAATAGGAACGGAGTAATTGAGAGCCCTATAAAGGACAATTCACTAAAAAGACACATTCCCACTCAATGTAAAACAATTACAGGAGAGAAGCTATGGTGAGGAAGTACCAGATTTCAAGAACAGTACTCCTAATTAGATACAATGGTGTGATGTTGTGGTTACCAGTTTTGCTGAGGGACAGTGTAATACACTAGGTTGGCAATGATGATATTAGGATTTACTAAAATCAAAACCCTGAGTGGCAATTCCAGACTGAACAGTTGTAGTGGAAGCCACTTTTCTACTCCTGCTGCTATCCATCCACCCTCTCCTGTGTATTCCTTATTACTTTGTCATGACCATAAGAATCTACTGGGACGGTTTTGTCCTATGCTTTGATGTCTATAATACAAAAGGAAGAGATATTTAGCTCTAGAATTTCAGACTCAACAATGAAAGAATAAAATATGTTATTTGATTGGCTTCATTTCACATTTTCTGTGACAGTGAAGTGATTAAAAGAGCCCAATACTGAAATATTCCACCCAAATAGGTAGTCAGACTACTTGTCATGAACTGTCCTTCCAGTTGTGAGGGGTTTCTGGTTCAGTCAAGTGATCTTGTGATCCCAAAGTTTTCTGTTGCCAGACATAGACCACTGGTCAAATAGTCTTACATTCTTGTTGTTGGTAATGTTATTTAAGATTCTCCACCATAACTGAGAAGCCTGTTCTCCTCCCACCCACTTTGGCCTATTTTGGATCATGTTGCTTTGCTTGCATTCTTGAACAATTTCTGACAGGGTGCCGCCTCTAAGCCTTGTCCCCTGCTACACACCCTGAATGCGTGTACTGACACCCATGGTAGTGGCTGGTAATCCCCTTGAGGTGTATATCAGCATACTACCCAAGAATATACTGCTGGCTTTAGTTTTTGCCTGACCATTTATTTATTCCTTGTAACATCTCTGATACTCCTTAACGTGCAAGTTGTACCAACTCATAATGCCAAAGCTGTTTTCACAACCTGCTTCAAGAGTAGTTTAAGACAGTTTTCATGGAGTGCTTCCATCAGACTTGGTTATTGTATTCTAAAAATTTGCAAACACAACAGTAACAGTGGCAACAACACCCCCACCACACACACACACAATATAGGGAAGAAAAAGTGGGGGATATTTAATACTTCCATTTCAAAAAGATGCATTAATACAGGTAGGTATATATCTAAGCATTCGCATGAAATTTTTGGCTGTAGGAGTTACATTGAAATGTAGCAAGAGCAGTAAAATCTTCAGACTACTAAATGACAGATACTATTTTTCTTTCCAAATGTGAAGTAAATCTTTTGCAGCTGTAAGAGTTGTTCTTGATATTCATTTTTGCAGTCCACTTTAAGAGTCCAATGGCATCCACTATTTTCACAGGTATTTTAGAACAAATTTTATACAGGCAATTGTTTTCAAACAGAAAGAAGCCATTACAGGATGTGCCTCCATCATATGCCTCAGCCTGGCATTATCCTAATTACATCACTAGCATCTGGCAGAGGTAGCCAATTTACACAATATGTCAGGTTTTTAGATTGTATGTTTCAAAATAAACATAGGTACAAATCATTCTGGCATTACAGCTTTTCATAATGGGAGCAATATATAAGTGATCTTCCTTGAATGAAAATAATACTGGCAATGGCTTTCATTACATGCAGGTAATGTCATGCTGGATACTACCCATGCTGTAGATTGAAATTTATTTTTCTAGAAATCATAGGTATGGTAGTTTTGTACAGAACAAGTCCAATTTTGTTCAACACATGAACAAGATGAAAGTATAGGGATGAAAACATTATGTATTTGTTAGTATTTACATATATATTTTTAATGAAAAAGCCATTAAGGCAGTGTACACCTATTAAAACAAATTACAAGTAGAGTACTAACATTAAACTACACATTTTTAAAAGCTCAGTTGAAAAGATACATCTTTACACCCAAAATCTGACTGAGTAGGGGCCAGTCACAATTCTTGAGAGAGACAGTCTATAGTTTGGGAGAGACAAACAGGCCTCTGTGGGTAGTGGCACCCTCAAAAGGTCCTGCCTTACATTTTTTAATACCTAGACAGATTCAAAGCAAGATGTACTATTACTGCATTAAAGCTGGTACTGAGATTGTAGCAGTTGAATTGTAGCAGTAGAACTGCAGATGCTGACTTCTGAGAATATCTTCATCCCAAATTTCAGAACAGATTTTAATATTTTTATTACAGAACATTAGAGGGAATTAATAAGCACACACATTTGTTGTGTTGGACTTCAATATCCAATGGTGTCTAGCCAGGTGGTGCAGTCCTGAGGATTCAACAGGAGGACTAAGTCATAGTATTTTCCAGGAAGCCTTTGGCATAACCATACAATATCTATGGAATGAAATGCAAGAGCACATAAATGAAATAATGAGACACACCAAATTTGAATCTAACAGATTATTTTGCTGTTTTACGTTCATTCTTCCTTTACTTGGTTCCTAGGGGGTCTACTCTCATTCTTCATTCTTCTATAAAGTTTTATGTAAAGAGGGTACTAAATTGGCCTTTCAGCATTGGACTTCTTTGGATATTCTTGCTACTTTCTTCACACTGAATTGTTATTGCACTGTATTCTTCATTTTTCAGAGTCCTCACCAGATAATGAGCGACTGACTCCCAGCCCTATTGATCCAGACTGTGTTGAGGTTGATGTGAATTTCAATCCTGACCCTGCTGATTTAGTGTTGTCCAGTGTACCTGGAGGTGAGCTCTTCAACCCTAGGAAGCACAAGTTTGCTGATGAGGACCTTAAACCACAGCCAATGATTAAAAAGGCCAAAAAAGTCTTTGTTCCTGAAGATCAAAAGGTAACAGCCTTTGTCTGCAGTGCTGCATGTTAGTGTTGCATGTAAAGTATTTTCTTGTGTTTCTTTAAAGGATTTTCCTTTGTTGCTGTTGTGTAGATAGATGGTAATATTCAAAAGGTTCTTGGAATCAGGTTTGTTCCTACAGGGTGAATTTTCAACTGTGCTGTTCTGGTTCATGGTACAATATTTCCCACAACTGCTCCCTTATGATCAATTGGTACTTTTTCTGGTACAGAGGAAATGGCAATGGGAAAATGATCAGTTGCATCTAGTAAAGAGATAGGAAGGCTGTTTTTCATTAGCACATGTTTGTCTACAAACACACATTAACGCACATGTGCATTCTCTCATGCACACTCTGCTCTTCCATGTGTGTGCACTTGTTGGGTTGGATGCAGTATCTTCTGTTGTCAGAAGGGCTCACTCATGGAAGGTACTTCCTCCTTATATTGGGGTATCCTTCCTTCTCCCTTCACACTCTATAGCTCACCATTCAGTAGGGAGGAGAGATCCTGTGTAGTGCTGTCAGGGAGCTGAAAGGCATGATGAGTCAGAAGTATGCTTCCCCCTAGCCCAGTTTACGTACTAAATCTGGATCCAGCCCTTAGTATGAAAAACGGCATTTGAGCAGTCATACATTTTATTGTGGTTGAAACAAAAAGAGATTGTCTTGAACTCCAAAAGAATCTCTCCAAACAGGAAGAAAGGGCATTAAAATGGCAAATGCAGTTCAGTGTAAGTAAATGTAAAGTGATACACAGTGGGGCAAAACATTCTGACTTCACATATACACTGATACTGATGTGAGCTGGTGATGATGGGTCAAGACAGAGATCTTGGGATTCTCTTGTGAAAAAGGCAAGTTTCATGTTAGTCATAATTAGAAAAAGAATTGAAAATAAAACTGCCAATATCATACTGCCCTTCTACAAATCAAGAATGTACTTGAAATGTTGTGTAGATGTCTGGTCCTGAATCACAAAAAAAGATACGTTAGAGCAGGGAAAGGTGTAGAAAAGGCAGGCAAAACTAAGGACTGGACCAACTCCCCTGTGAGGAAAGTTGCTATGTTTGGCACTGTTTAGTTTAGAAAATAGGCAAGTATGAGGTGTATAATATTATGCTAGGTGTGGCGAAAGTGGATACGGAGAATTCTGCCTCCCTGTTCTGTAATAATGGAATCTGGGATCATCTTATGAAGCTGAATGGAGGTTTAGGACAAATAAAAGGAAGTACTTCTTCATATAGCACACAGTTCATCTATGCAATTTGCTACCACAAAATGTCATGTTAACTACCAAGTGATGATCACAAGCACTTTAAAAGATGATTAGGCAAATTCGCAGAGGATGAAGCTATCAGAGGCTGCAGAGCATGATGGCTGAGGAGTTAAATTCCTCTCTTACCAGGTACTGGGGGACAAAAATGAGAGGATGCTGTTGCACTCCCATAAGCATCTGGTTGACCACTGTGCAAAAAGAATGCTGGACTAGCAAACCTTTGGTCTGTCCAAGAATGTGGCTCTTACGTTTTGGTTATTTCAAACAAAAACTCTGACCAGAGGTTGTTGTACTGGTAATCCCATCTATTGAAGTGGATGACAAGACTTTTAAGTTGTTTATATATTCTTTCTCACTGGGTTGGTCAACAATCTAATGATCGTATTCCGGACTATAAATCAAAATAGTCCTAAAAGGTATTGCAGTAGTCTACTGGAGTATGGGTAACATGCTCCTAGGATAGGGTAGAGTTGTAGTGAGGCTATAGATGATCAAAGGAGGAAGCCAAATAATATTTTGTTGGTTGTTTAGAAGCACTTAAAAGCATTATATTGTCAAACTGATTATTTCCCCCAGGATGAAAAATACTGGACAAGACGAAAGAAGAATAATGTGGCGGCCAAGCGATCTCGTGATGCACGACGTTTGAAAGAGAACCAGATCACAATTCGAGCTGCTTTTCTGGAGAAGGAGAATACAGCCTTGAGGACTGAAGTGGCAGAGCTGCGGAAGGAAGTGGGAAAATGCAAGAACATTGTCTCTAAATATGAGAGCAGATATGGACCCTTGTAAGCAACCCTTTCCCCTTATTTGACCCCTGGATTGTTCTGCTTTCTGTAAAGACTCATAGAAATAAATTTTATGGTGCCTTTGTGCATCACTAAACAAGTTCCATTTCTGCTGACACAATTTGATCAGATACTTTCTGATCTTTGTGTTGCAGTATGTCGGTTTTTAGTAATTTGTTAAATGTTTGAGAACTTGGCATTTCTAACCAAATAGCACATTTGACGATTTGAGCAATAAAGACTGACTTGTCTAGGCTTCTAAACTGACAGGACCTTTATGCTTGCTGTTCTGATTGATGTTTGAATTGGAAGGAAGGTATTTGACTCAAAGTAAAACAAACTGTGTAATGTGGAAGAAATGGTGCTGGAAGAATTATTAAATAATTGATTCCTACTCCAAGTTAACAAAATGCATAAAATCATCTGAGGTGCAGAGTTAATCATAGTTTTCATTTTACAAAAAGATATGCATCTTTTTTCAGTACTGAGTCTTTTGATTCTTCAGGTACAGGTATATAGATAGTGTAGATTATATATTCATATTAACAACACTGTTGTAGCTTTGTCCTGAAAACTATTATAAACAAATTTCCATTCATAAATTGGAAGACTTTTCTCTTAGCTGACTGACTTGTAGTTAATTACTTTAGGTTGACAACTTTTCTTTTTGAGTCACTTCTGTTAGTTTAACTAACATGAATGTTCAATCAAGCAAATTCACTTGAATAATAAGATTCATTTGGTATAGTAAATTTTTCACATCAGTTATCAGAAGGTTTTGTTCTTATTTTTATTAAAAGTAACAAGTTTTAATATTTTCTAACCTACTGTTGTAGAATTAGCAGTATTGGCATAGGGATAGCTTGTTTTAGACACTTCCAAGTGATGCTTTACTGCAGGCTTATTGCTGACCTCTTGACTAATATAAAGAGGAACCATATCTCCTTGATACAAACTGCCTAGGACACAATCCATTCAGAATGCCTGTAAGCCCCTGAACTTGAAGTAGCAGAGGTAATTAGCACTGCAAATGAGGCAAGAAGAGGCGACAGCAGTGTCAGGTTATCTCATCCTGGTTGTTCCTGGCTCCTCTTCTCCTCACTACCTTGAATCCATCTCCATGATTGTTTTCCTGGTCTCAGAAAGCAGCTGATGCACTTCTTTTCACTTCAGAAAGGAAGTGGAGAGAGTCAGAGCACCAATTTCCCCTCTCCAAGGTTGGGGCACTCTCTCTGACCTTAGAGTATGGGAATCCAAATTATCCAGTGGCCTTCAAACCATGTCTAGGGGCATAGGTTTGTTTCTTCCATCTCATTATCTCTGCCTTACACCTGGATTTTTTCCACAAAACCTGTCTTATGTCTCAAGTATCTTTAGTTCTTAACTTGGAAAGAACATGCAAAGTTTTTCCTATAGTAATAAGCAGTGCTTTTTTTGTAAAAAAAAAAAAAAAAAAAAGGTGCCAGAACTCACGTCTTGGGGTCACACTTTTACACAATGGTCGCCACTGGCAGTAAGAACTCAGTGCACGACCACACGACCAATCCCAAGCCGAGCAGCGCCCTCACAATCAGCGCTCACAATCAGCGCCGACACACAAGCAGCCCACAGGCACTATGTTAATGATTTTTGCCTCGGATCTGCTACACCCAACAGGGCAATTCACAATCACTTGGAAAAATCCATCAAAAAATGATGCCGGAACTCTGTTCCGGTGCGTTCTATGACAAAAAAAGCCCTGGTGCTAAGGCAGAAAACATTTCTATTTAATACCAGAGACCTTCTCCAAGACCATCAGCTTCAAAGATCAGTAAGACAAAAGTAAATTGATATCTGCATAATGTCACTGGAACCAATTCAATTGCATGCATCAGAATCCTCTGGAAAGGTTGCTTGTTCAAAATCACCCCTTTCCTGTATGTCAAATGCACCGAAAATGGAAGAAAATCTAAATCGGCTTTTGAGTGATTGTTGCATGCTTGATAAAGTTGATTGTTAAAGATAATGTTTGGGAAGATGATATTTTAGCATAAAATCATTTAAATGTGCAACAACCAATAGTTGCTTTCTGTTGGGCACTTTTATAGTTGTTGTCCCTTTGAAAGAGAGATCAGTTAAATAGCTTTAAAAATCTCCCAGGACCAGATATAGATTGGACATTGAAACAAATTCTAATATATTTTTTAATATAATTGGGAAGCAATCTAATTATAGTAAATTTTTATTATACTCAATACTTATTCTCCTTCATGATTCTCTCGCCTTTGCTTTACTGGAACTGGCTTTATAGTCAGTACTCATTTAATGCTCTCCATATAACCTTAGGAACCAATCCTGTGACCCTTAAACACTGTCTAAGGGGCCATAGAATACTGGAGATTCTCCTTGCTTCTAAAGTCAGAAATAGTACTACATCCTAGGAAGGGATGTAGCCCCCATTTTCCTGTCCCCTTGTGAAAAAAAAACCAAACAAAACAAAACTCTGGCTTACCTCAGCTCAGAAATGTGACTTCAGAGAAATGCAAAAAGGAGGTGTTCCAGTGGGCAGGGAAAGGCCAGGATACAAGCTATTCTGAGGCTGTTCCTGCCTTTTCCCCCGACTTCTGGAATGCCATATATGGTGGAAGGATGGAAAAACAAAGATTGCCTCCATCACCCTTCCTGTTCTGCCTGCCTTAGCCCAACAAGGCATTGAATATATGGAACCTGTCATGTTCAGAGGCTTCAATCTCACAAGGGCACAACTCATAGGATTGTGCCCTGAATGTTATTTCTTATATAGTGGGGGAATTCATGACATCCCTAGCAGTGCAGTGTTGAAAAAATGCTGTCTCATAAATAAATAGTCATATTTTTGCTTTGCTTTATTTAAAGTGACTTATCCGATTCCGAGTGATGCAACTTTAAAGACTCTTAAAATCACAAAGAAACTAAAAACTACTCATGAAACCACCTGCCGTCAGAGTGAAGAGTGAAAGATGTGAGGTATTCTACACAAACAGCTGATGACCCTGCCTCCCTGCAAGTACCTTGTCTGAACTACCCAAGGGCTGAGCATGATGAAAAGGCTAAGGTCTCTAATGTTACACTTTTCTTTGTACTGCTGTTTTCTCTTTTTACCACAATCTGCAGTACAGTCATTAACTCACTTGGTGCTCTTATCCTTGAGTTCAGATTAAATAAGTAGTGACTTCATAAGGTGATACTAAGAAGGGAGGCGATCTTAACTGAAAATAACTCAAACTATAATACATCAAGAATTCTATGGTTGTTTTTTCTCATCGTTTCTATGCTTTAGAATGGATGTCAATTCTGCAACTAAATGCTGTTAAGTAATTATTTCTTACATTATTCAAACAGAGCATACATGGAAAACAGACTAAAATACATTTCAGTCAACCAATATATTGGCTGAAATTGAAGTAATGGGATTAAAACAAATACCCCAAGATGTACTATATAATATTAAATTTAAATAAGTAAGATGCACCTTATTTTCTCAGCTAATAAGGCTAACGCTAGGTTTCTGAATTAAGCACTTTTTCTTAAGCTTACTGACTTCTGACAATACTGTTGTAAGACTATTGTCATGGTTTGCTGATGCATTTTCTCAGTCTTTATAATGATATATTCCTATTCCCTTGTTTTTATAACCATTCTTTAACTGGAGCTTGGAAAAGAGGAATGAGGATAATGATAAAAGGATTGTAAATGAAGAATGATGAGGCTACCTTTCATTACATCTCTCCTCTGCTGTCACTTCCCCCTTAGGTGGGGGGAAGTGGGAGCTCTTAATATCTTTCTTTAGTTTTCTTTATCTCATGCAAATTCATTGCATCAGGTTCTCTGGAATTTTACATCAAAATGGGGTAACATTCTGGTTTCCTCAATTGCATAAATATTTAATTCTAGCTTTCTCCCACTTATTCTTGCACAGTAGCAGAAGCAAAATTAGAAACATTTATGCCATCTTCCCTTACTGCTTTCCTCTAAAAATTTTTTATAAAAATTCACAGAGTGCCTAAAGTAGTATGATGTGTGTTGCATTCATAAATCTTCTGAAAGGTCAGGCAGAGCACAATGGAAAATCCTTCACACCTATGAGGTAGAAAAACTATAGATAGGCCATGTAAGTACCAAGGTGGACATTTAAAAGAGATTTCAGTTGTGTAGAATTTGTACCCTAAGCATGAGCTATATTACATTTGTAATATATCAAAGTTATATATTTGTGAATACATTTACTAATGATGAGCATGCCCTGTTATTCTGATACATTTAAAAAGACTTAAGAGGGTAAGTGCCTCAGTGTTCTGAGGCATATTTGAGGAGTGAACAATTGGGAGAAGAATGCTTCTGAATGGACACCCTTTTTCAAATGTTTAGTCAAATAGTTTCCCAAACTGGGTAGAATTCACAACAGTTTGTCATGGGAGCCCTATGGATCATCAATTTTGCATCAGTCAGTGGGGGATGGCAGAGCAGCAAGTAGATTAAAAGCATGCTACTCTCAGTTTCAGGGGTAGAAATTGACAGGCATTTCCTAAAATAGCATGCTGTAGGATCCCACTTAGTAAAATACTGATCTAGCCTGCTATTTTCAAAATGTAATCCCAACACAATTAAATACTTGCCTGTCCAATTTAAAAAATGGATTTTAATTGTTCGTAATGAATAAAGCAAAATACATATTGTTTAAAGCTTTTTGACTGTTGTCTGTTAAAAATCTCTGAGATCTTCAATGCAGCTAGTATAAATATTAAATATGAGACAAAAATTAGCATACTAGAATTCTAGACTTCATCTAAAGCAGGGGTCTCAAACTCAACTTACCTGGGGGCCACTGGAAGTAGAGTCTGGGTGAGGCTCGGCCGCATCAAGCGGTGGTGGTGGGCCGCTCATCCCACGTGGCTCCCGGAGGCCGGCCCGGGCGCTGCCGGCACTTTGAAGGCCGCAGGGTCCCTCCCGTCCTGGCAATTGGCCCACGGGCCGCGAGTTTGAGACCCCTGATCTAAAGGTTCTGTGGCACACTCTTGGTAGTTCATTTAGAGCCAACTTTCCAATACTTGAGTTTGCTACCTTACAAATGACTCTGCATGCTAGTTATTACTATTGATTTTCTAACCATACATTTTTGTGAAAAATTTAGAGTTGAAAAACATAATAAAATGCAGTCTGTCTTTGATTCTGGCACTATACTGTATAGGCAAAAATATTAAAATATTTTTCATTATATTGTGTACCTTTTACACTGAAAAATCTACAGTAGTGATGATGTGCTTTAAGGCCTACAAATATAAAACCTTGAGCATCATATCACAGTATGTTTTGAGAAAGTGCTATAAAATAATCTAAATAGCATGTAAATTCCCTTGTTTTATCTCTATAAATTAGGAGACAGTTCTATGGCTAATAAATACTGTCTGGATGACCACAGGAAAGGCTAGGAGTTGCAACACTCACCTTGTAGTTGTTTCTGTGCTGGATTTATTTCAGAAAATGGAAGAACAGCCTCACCTTTGGTGTTCAGGAGAGGAGACTCAGGCTTCAACTGGGGTACAATGTAACCTGGTGGTGCCTCAGCCTGTCCTCATGAGTAGACACAAAACACTTAGATAGCTGAAATCAGCTGTGTATGTTTTTTGTGAGGTAGAAGCCTCTGTGCTTCTTCCAACCTTGATAGGATGCCTGTAAACCTTGCACCCCTAGTCACATAGTATACTTAGTTACAAAATGTTACAAGTGTTATGTGTATGAGTATATCTCTACCTTTGTTTAGAAGACCTAATTCTTAGCTACAAACTAGGAGGGGTGGAAGGAGGAAGTCATGCTTCTTTCTAAGGCTGATTTCCTAGAACTACTGATCTGGAAAAAAATTCCATTGAATTCTGTGAGGCTTACTTCTGAATAGACATGTATAGAATTGCACTGTTCCTTAAATTTTATAATTTCCTTTTAAGAGATGATTATAAATAATGAGTCTAATTAGGTCTAGCACTCTTTTCTTTTTGCCACTGTTCAACTTGATACCCAGTTTATGGTGGTAACAATAGAAAAGAACATTCTTAAGTTGCACTAATACTTAAAAGTAATTGTCCAAAGAAGCAGCAGAGAGTGCAGGCAGCAAATGTGCCAGCTGTTCTATATACCACCTGTCTTGTTATCCAATGGAATGAGCTTTTAAAGAAAACTAGTGCAATCTAAATGATTACAGAGTTTGGTAAGAAGAGTTTGTGGACAAAATTAACCTGTTTGATTACTCAGTGATGATCCATTTGCCACTGAATGACTGTGGGATAGCAAATTTTTGATTGTAAATGTTAGGGAGAAGAAATTTTTTATATGCAGACACATTTCTGTGTAATAGTGAATTTGTTACAGAAGTCTTAACCAGGCCATCCCTTGTGAAAATAGAGAATAATATATCCATTCTAACTATTCATAGACTTAACAATTAATTTGTATATGAAAAAATAAATTTGGGAGCTAATTCTCTTGTTCATAAATTTGAACTTAAATACGCTTAGCATAGGCATTTAACCTCTGTTTAACTGATGTTCAATTACTGAATATTCATGTGAGGTTTCTACTTGCAGCTAGTGCAGTGGGTTAGGTTTAAAGGGCAATTCACATTTCATTTTTGTGATCTCTGTGCAGGCTTCATGTTTGATGGAGTTTTCCCTTTCTAACTACTTTTGTAATATCCATTTGAGAAGTAATTGGGGTATTAGTGCTGTGGATGCTGAAGCCTTTGTAAGCTTTGATATTAAACATACGATGTTAATCTTGGTTGCTATTTTGTATAATGGTTAAAATTCCAATTGTCTGTGTGGGTATGGGTGTTTTTTGTTTTTTAAGAAGTTTATTGGATTACTCCATGTCCTTCCTGTGCTGTATTGTGCTGTGCTTCCTGGAATAACCAAGTATTGTAGATGTTGCTTATGGTACTACCTAGTAGACAGTCCAGTTCTGTCAAGTTCTGTCTAATGCAAGATGCATTAGAAGAGAACCGGCAGTTAATGTTGAAGGGAATACTGCATTAGTGTTAGAGGAAATCTACCTTCAATAGCCAGAAGTACCTGAGTTTGTACTGTATTTTTTGTTTTGTATTTTACAAAAATCTCAAACACCTCTGAGCCACAACCTAATAGTGGTTAAATTACTCCCATCCCCCCCGCAAAAAAAGGTTAAAGGGTTAAACCCCCCTCCCCAAATACTCTTATGCTGTTACTGATGCATCTACAAAGGTATCTATAGAAAACCAAATTTGTTCCATCATCTTCTATAATAGCAATTCTTTAAACATCTGAATTTTATTAAGGAAGGAGATACTTTATCTATTTAGTTCTGAAGGCATGTTCATTTCTTTCTAGGCCAAGCTTGCTAGTCCTCAGTTACTCTTCAGCTAAAGAACCACTTCATGTGCCTGTTCAGTGTACAACCACTTTTACATGCACATATAAACATACGTAATGTGTAAATTTGATTAACATGTGTTTTCACATGCATGTATCTCATAGGTACATTTAAAATATATTGTTTTTATGTGGGGCTCTGAATGATCTCTCATTCAAAAGATGGATCAGATCAACAGCTATTTAGATACCTCCAGGCCATTTCTTTACTGTGATCAGATATAAGACTAAACCATGGTTTATGAGAATCAGTGTAGTCTCCCCCAAACTCTTATCACCGCTACTCTGTATAGTTGTGAAAAAAGCAGAATCTTACTCTGTTTTAGATTAACTACATTTTAGAGTATGCCTGACACTAAATGTAATAATAAATAACACTCTAGCCTGAAATAGTCTGAACTGGTTGGTGAAAGCAAGCCAGCTCCATAATCTATGGTTTCAGTAATTGTAACTAAGACTAACCACAGTTTGGGCTCAGCTGACCAACACGCTGCAGTTAATCAAAAAGCAGTTCATCTGAACTCCTTCTGGCAGCCATGCTAAAGGAAGCATGGGGAACTCTCTAGACTAGCAATGGGCTCATTCTTGTAATGCTAAACCATGTTTTGCTTTATATCAGGTGCAGGTCTCAGTGTCCAACAGGTAATGTATAAACTGGCCAGTATATGCTCTCTTAGTTTTATGCTAATTAAACAAATATTCTAGCTATTTATTGTTATTTTCTTCAATGAGACAAATATTGTATATCTGTAGTTCTTTATATCAGATGTATATCTAAGTCCTTTAAAGTTTTTGTTCAAAGCAGCCTGTCTGAAGCAGAGTGGGGGAGCTGTACAAGACTGATGCCTGAGCCAGCATTCAGGATGTTTGTACATATGTCTTGTTTATAAGTTGAGAAGCAGGAAGGAATTCAGATTTGCCTGCGGATGAAAGACACACTTTCCCCATGTTGTATCGGTTTTTCCTACCTTTGCTACAAATCAGTCCACTGTTTGAGTAAAGATTACTATAATTTGGGCAGTCCAGGTATGTTAGGCATTCTTCCACCCCATACTTTGTAATACATGTGTTCTTGAGCAAATTAAAAATGATTATGCAGAATGTTAGGAAGAGGTAACAAGTAAAGTGGGAAAATAAGGGGACGGGACATTGCCCTAACCAACATACTGAAAGCAAGGCCCTTTTGGGCTCTAATTCTGCTGGTCTGGGTTCATTTACAAGGGGCATTTGTTTTGATGTGAATGTTCTTCATCTTGAATTCATTGAATCTAATGGCAGTGAAAAGAATGCAAAACTGTGAAGGAAAGCTAGCTATATTTTTTAGTCTTAAAATATAATTGTATGCATGTTTAGATGAAAAAAGCCTTATAAATTCCAGCATCCATCTCCCCCCCCCCCCCCCCCAACATAACATGGCTGGCTAGGGAATGCTGGGAATTGTACAACTCTTCCATCTAAACATGTATTAAACTGTGCCTCCTTACAACTGGCCAGTTAATGACACATTTGTTTCTTGGGTGCCCTATGTCATGAATTCAGATAATGTTCACAAGACAGCCTCTCAGTGTGAAACTAAGGATAAGGTGGCTTTTTTTAGCTGAAGTGGGATAAGTATTAACTTGACCTTTGAAACATCTGCTGGCAAAGTGCTTAGTAGGGTCCAGGATAGCTTACATGTTTTGTTTTTACATTGGTGTCTAAAATAAGGTGATTACAATATTATTGGCATATGCTATTTTGTATTACAGAAGTGTAAATACACTTTAATATTATTCTTGGTCCTTATGGAGTAATAAGTGCTTCCATTGTAATCTCTGCAAATTTGTTTTTAAATCTTTTAATGTAGCATGGCTTGAAAAAAAATCCTTAGAAAACTGCAGGAATCAAACAAAATTAAATTGATGTTGTAGAGTTTTACTTTGTGATGCTTTCTGTTTATAAAATGTTTAATAATTCACAAAAGCAGAGAGACTAAGAATTGGCAGGGAAGGTATTTCCATGGTCACTGAGTTTATTCATAATAGTACTCACCCAGTCTTACCTGGAGGCAAATCAATCTGCCAGTTACCAGCAACCCTCACACATCATGTCCTATTGACAAATGGCATGGGATGACTTCTGTATTTTCTGTATTTTGTCTTCATTTGGTGTTCTTTGCACACTTCATTCGTCTCTACTGAATCGCAATTCATTGTACCATAAATTAGGCTTATGACATTTTAGCCATAAATAGCAGAGCTCATCCTCTGTCTTATTAGATATATATACATTTTCCATATATAATCAAGCATTTCAATAAATGGACATTTTAAATGACTTTGACTGAATGCCTAAATGTGGTAGATGGATTTAGCAATAACTCTTGCCCTTTTGTCTGTATTTTGGATTGGGAACTGGTCCATGCAATATGTTTTCTGGTATTTCTCGAGCATCATGGCACAGATCACTGTTGATAAAACATCAGTATCACTGATGTGGCATTGAAGCAGCAATAGAAAAACTAGTTTGTTTACAAAATAGATGGAAATAGATTAACTAAAGAACATGTTTCTAGATTGTTGCATACCTTCAGCATAGCTTTGTTCAGTGAAGCTATTCTATTAGACAAGTTTTATCCAACCTGGTGCCCATTAGACGTATTGACTACAACTTTTATCATCCCCGGCAAGCATGGCCATTGAGGAAGTCTGTTTTCAGAGGATAAGAGTTTCACAGGGCTCTTGTGTTTCAGTTCAAAATAGTGTACTCTGTCCTTTTCCTTTGCATTAACAAACATGTTTTTGTTCCATTTGTCAATATAAGGGAAATCAGACTGCACTAAAATCTGTATTATTTTTATATTTTAGAAATTGCAGAATACTTTTAACATCTGCTGCATTTCTCCAGTGTGTATCCTGTCTGTAATGAACAGTTATTCCTGTATATAAGTTTTATAGATTAGTCTGCAAAATGCTTTTGACTACTCAATTAAAGGCATTGTAGCAAAATTGTTACTATGTATAAAAACCCCTGTGTAAAATTGTATCTTGCAATGCATCTATTGTTCATGCAAATACTCATTGCCTATGTCTTCCTTTATATATATTTACAAATGTTAATGGATTATTGGTGGAAGGATGTAAATGATAGTCCTGGTAAGGAAATCATTCCATGTTCAAGATCCACATCATATCCATTTATATTTCTGTTATGCTTTTTAAATTATACAGTTATGGATATGAACTCTCTCTGATTATGGAAATGGCTTGATTTTTCTGGGTGTATTAAAGCCTCTCTGCCAAGTATCTTTTGTAATGCATTTCTTTTAAAATGTAATATTTTGACTGTACTGAATTCTCTTAGTATTCTTTCCCTTTTGAAAAAAATAAAGTGTATATTCTACCAAACTAAGATATATTCACTGCTCAAGTTTGCGCTCACAAACCATTATCAGAACATTATGGTCTGATGCAGAGTGTTTAGCTATCAGTGATGTCTATCAGTTGGAATTGATTGTATTACTAATTTTTGATGGCTATGAGAACATACAAAGTTTATTCATATTTCTCATGTTGTCATATTGTGTGGATCTCAGAAATATCACAATTGCAACTGAACACAATTGCAACTTCTGAGAAAGAAAATCAGGGTTACTTACTCTCCTCTTTAAAATCTGCATGAAAAGTAGATTACATCCTGACTAAATCCTTCTGAAATATTCAACACTCTTTTATGTTACTGGAAATGCTGCCTTTATCTCAAGTGGTCTCCAACAGCTTTTTGTTAAAAACAGTGAAACAAATTGTAAAGACTAAGCTGTTCCCTTGTGCTTAGAGCCACTTTTTAAAAGTATGTAGAAAAAGGAACTTTTTGTATGAATTAAACTTCACTGTTTCTTGCAGTGCATGCTGTGAAGTCTATCTGTGGTCTCTAAAGCATCATTAATCAATAGTAAATTAATCATCTTAAGCACCAGAAAGAGTTGCTTAAAATTGCTGAAATCTCTCCCTGAAGGGCAAGGACTAAGATTAGATGCTGGTCATGTAATCAATGAATACTGTATGTAGTTGCAAAGAGAGAAGACTAAATGGCCTACTGGATGTGGGATCTGTTAGAACACCAAGAGTAATTTCTTACTGTTTCCTTAGCAGAGATGTCAAATTTCAATAGGTAAAATATGACACACAATGAAGAAAAATAGTTTTCTCTACATAACTTTATTTAAACAGGAGGGATTCTGTTGGGCAGTAAAAGTTCTGTGCTAGGAATAATGTGTTACAGGAAATAGAGTAACTACCAGTTAGGGATAACAGTATCAGGACAACTATGATTTTTTTTTCTTTATGGCAAATAGTATGGAATGATGAGGTGGGAGGGGTTCTTATTTAATTGATGCAGTTTGGTGCTAAATGTGATTTGAATTATAATGTATGGGATTTTTTGTTTGAAGATAGGAGAGGAGAATCAGTGTTGTGACTAGACTTTAATATTAAAAATTAGGTTAGTCCTTGAATCCTTTCCAGCATCAGATATTTCTAAAGAAAGTGCTTTTAGACAGACAATAATTTAGGGGAGTTGCCAGGGGAAAACACTTTCCTCACTAATGTTTATGAGGAAAGATCGCCCATAACTTTGCTTTGAATTGACAATTAGCCTTTTGACAGTTGTCAAGATAAAGTACAAAAAAGCCCCCCCCCCCATCCTCTCTCAGTCAATGTCCATTGTTGATTCCTGCTGGATTTTGCCAACAGGTATTTCCCAGAGTATTCCCCAGGTGGTTTCCCATTTTTGCCCCTGCAGAAATGCACCTTAATCAGTCTCCATTATTTTACTTTTTCCTAATATTTGAATATAATGAAACACCATATTGACATCATTTCTGGTCTTTCATATTGTCTCCTTGTTACTGAAGTAGATGTTTTCTGCATAGCCCTGGTTTTTTTTGAAGAGTATTACACATTTCTCCCTCACCTCCAATAGTTGCACTTGGATAAACTGTGTGATGAAAGTGTGTTTGAGTAGTTGTCCTTAGGACATTTTAAATTATAGAAACAGTAAATCTAATCCATTTACCTGGTTTTTCCTACCTAGTGTACTAAACTGTCTGTTTTGTCCTTGTCCAATACATGCCTTTATAGAAATGGGGAAAAAAGTTGCTTCCTCCTTAGGAGACAAAAGCAGGTTCTAGACAGTAGATCATGGAATAGAAAAGTGGGGGAGATCTAGGCGACCTTCTGTGGAAGGAGGAGTGACACAGAAAGGAGATTGGTGGAAGTGAGTGGGCAGTCAGGAATAGCAAGGTTTCAGGGTAAGGGTACTGGCAGTACTCCAAGCATGGTAAGAGGTGACCCCGTGTATGATTTACTGGGAATACACTTTCTTTTATAATGTTTTTGAGCTTCTGGGTTTGAACTTTGCATTGAGAGAGGGGAATGCATAGTTAGCAGCCTCAGTTACCTGGCCCTGTAACAACTTTCCAGATCCACAGTGCAAGTGAGGTTCAGAGTAAACAAACAGCTTACTACAGATTTTGAGGAATGAGGTTGGATTTGATAGCCTTCTGATCTGTTATAGCCCCCTGTGTTCTATATTCATCTCCCAAGCATCCAAGTTATTTCCTTAATCTGACAGCCTCATGGTAGCCATGCAGACTTGAACCTTACTTCCTTCAGAGTGTGAATGGTCTGCCGTTTGCTCCTGACCATGACCTACCTTTGGCCATTTTGATCCTTCATTGCTTGCCTCAGACCAGACTCCCTCCCCACCACCTCCCACCTCTCAGCTGCAACCTGCCTCAGAGCTTTGCAAAAATCCGGCAGTGAAGCAAAGGAAAATAAGCTAGAGGAAAGCTTTGCTCCCTCTCACCCATGCACCACCTGATGTAAAGAATAAAAGCTTCACACTCTGCCTCCCCCTGCTTTTACAGAAATGGAGCAGGTGAGCGAATGCGCAAATGGGGTGGCCCTATTTTGGTTTTCTAACAACTGACCACCAGATGGCTCTGTTGCAGCACAGCAAATGCTACATGACCTTGTGTCTTTAAAAAGAAATAATACTCCCAATGGGATGCAAGAAACAAAAGGTTATTGATACGGAATTAGAAAGAGGGAAAGAAAAGCAAATAGCTTTGCCTGCTGACATTAATCCAGACTAAGCTTCGCAACCTCTGTAGTGCTTAAATGTGTAGGTTGTTTTCTCCCATTAGGAAATGATTGTGACTTGTTCCTTGTACACCGATTGAGTGAGTATGATGGATGATCAAGGTAGAGTACGACCAACACTAGACCTTCTGGTCATTTTTTCTCAGCTTGCTTTGGATGAGTGAATAGCTTCAAGGAAAATAAATGACAAAAGAAAGCTTTTATGTTGCAAGCAAAGGCACAGAGAACCTAGGAATTGGCAGTCTGGCCTCAATTCCATCAAACCCTCCAGAGGAAAGCTACCCAAACTGCATTGGAAAAGCAACAACTTGCTTGCCCATTAAAGTTTCTTCTGACCTCTTTTTCCTGCAGAGAGAGAAAGAGAGAGAGAGAGAGAGGAATATGTACCTTGACATAATCACATAATAACTGTTAAATGTTTCTTCTTATTAATTTCTGTTATGGTTATTCTTTATTTTGTTTATTTAACTTCTGTACTACCCTGTGTTTAACTGAAAGGAAGCCTTACCTGCTTGACTGCATGAGTGCTCTTGAAGTGACTTAAAAAGAAGGGAAATAACTAGCACCAGTCCTAGAGAACATATGCCAGTTTGTTTCTAAGCACAATTTAAAGTGCTGGTGTTTGCTTTTAAAGCTTCATGTGGCTTGGGCACTAGTTTCCCATAGGATCATGCTTTCCTACATGTACCTGTCTATGTACTAAACATTTTTGAAAAGGAAGCCCTTTCTCTGGGTCCAGCCTTCTGAAGCCCGACTGAGAAGAGGCCTCTTTGGATGTGGCATCTCAGGTGTAGAACACCTAGCCTGAGGTTTTTGTCTAAACATGCATAGGATAACACACACTTACAGGATGATGAGGCCCAATTTATATCTATATGAATAATATTTGGGTCAAATAAAATTTATTTTGTCACTGAAGTATATATTCCTCTAATTTTAAAAATTACTTTTATATTTTGATTTTGTATCCCTTATTCTTTTAAACTTCAAGCCTTGCTGAGGTTATTTTGCACTCTTGGGCCATTATTATTACTGTGTGACTATTTTAAAAGGTCTATTATATTAAAAGGAAAAATTGAAAAATTGAACAAGATATACAAAGATTGCAAAATATCACAGAATGTATTCATTTGGGATCCTTATACTGACTAAAGATTCTTTGATCTGGCAAAGGCCTCCATTGATGCAAATAGGATTTTTGGCAATTTCTCCTGCTCCCTGCAGGCATTCCAAATTCTGTTCTGCAGAGTTTGGACCCTCTTTATCGTGGGAATCGATGTGATTGGTGGCTCTTTGTGATGAAGAACAGGACATAAATAAAATAGTAATTTATAGAAACTTTAGCTTTGGGGTAGTGGTGTATCAAAGAGGCTCAGGTTTAAACTAGCCTTCTGACAGTGTAACTTTTGTATTATTTTGTTTGTGATCTTCATTTGTGCTGGCTGCAGGCCAAATAGTTTCTGTGGAAATAAACAGTTCAAGGAAAGCTGCCATCTAAATAGAGGAGGGTTTAGGGCCCAGAACCAATTCTGGAATCTCACTGGTCAACTAGCTTTTGAGGACATTTCTTACTTGCACTGAATCAAGATGACAGACCAGCCCTGATGTCACCCAAAACAGTTGAGGAGAGGGGAAGAGAATCTGGTCAGGAGGAACTAGGGATAGCACAGTATTCCCAGAAGTTTTTTCAGCTGCTTCAGACTAGGCTTGTTTTTCCATGCTGCTGTTTTTAATTCTCAGTTCAGGTGCAAGACTGAGGATAACATCAGTGATTCCTCCAGTGTGACATTGGCTTCCTGGTAGATAAATTGACTTTGTTGGTTCCAGAACCAGTGGTGTTCTCACTTGGATCAGTGACTGATGTTCAGCATTTGCTTTGCAGTTGGTTGCAACACAACATGGATTGGGACTATTTCCCTTGAATAAACTACCTGCTTTACAGCTAGAATTACAGCCTGTAATCTCCTGCATCTCTAAACAGTTGTGTAGAAAGGGAAGTTTCAGCAGGGGCATCTTTCTTTATTCTTGTGGTGCTGCTCAGTGATGAACTGCAATTTCCCTTGTTGAAAGGATGAGCCTCAGCCCTGACCTCAGTTGCATCAACACAGTCTGCAAATACTGACTAGAGCCTTTTCCTTGCGGTTGGCAGATTCCAGAAAGGCCAGCCTCTGGAGCAGAATGTATGAGCAAAGCATCAAGAAAAGACTGGTCACATGTTGTTTCTTTAAGCAAGCATTTCCTTGCTT